GAAATAAAATGAATAATTGAAAACGAATATCATGTAATACGAAAATCATAAAACACGAAACAATATATTACAAATTTACAAAAATAATTGAAAACATTATGGTTCACAATATTTCGTACATGTTAATGCGAAACACACATATTACGCTCGGATGGACCAACGTTCGACATGTGGAACTGAATTGTGTCGAGAAAAACTGAGAAGAACTTTCGGATCTTGACAGTTTATCTTTCGAGATTCTCCCACCTGTCGAGAATTATTGCAGTGAACTGTCAGGAACTACAGTTCACGACGATGACATTTCGTTACTGAATTTAACTGTCGGAAAATCTACTTTTGACCTCAAAGTAAGTAGGTATTATTAAAGGGTTACTTACTCCTTATTGAAGCAGAGAGAATCATTAAAACCACAGATATGTAAAGTATGTACGCAAGATTTCCACCGGAATGCATAANAAGGGTTACTTACTCCTTATTGAAGCAGAGAGAATCAGTAAAACCACAGATATGTAAAGTATGTAGGCAAGATTTCCACCGGAATGCATAATTACTCATATGGACTAGCAAGTGAAAGCAATATTATTTCTAGTTTGACCCCCATAAAAATTTAACACTAGTTATCGCGTCTTTTGTTATGAGACGGATCGAACCACGTAAATGATAATATGCATGTCAAATATTTTCTTTCCACAAGTCAGTCAGGGTAATGTTGGAAGCTTGACCATTAAAAGCACATATATGTCGAGCGTGTAGTAAAGATTTCCACCCTAATGCACAAGAGACATAACATGACATTGCATGCGCATGACAATATTGTCACATGACATCGAAAGACAGACAATTTCTAATTATATTATAGAATTTTGTAAAACAACTTATACAAGCAACTTAAACACAGCATTACTAATTACTTCTACATAGTACACATGCATGACTTAATTGTAACACACACAACTGATACCTACAATTTTGATCTCAATTTCAACTCAAATAATATTTTTCTCATTTAACAGTCTGTGTTGAAGCTTTTGGAATTTAAAACATCTCAAACAGAACTTACTTAAATAAAGAACATATATTCATCTCCCACTTAGGCTAATAGTGAACCGCCCCATTAGAGTAGAAAAGCCACTAAAATCTGGATTCAACATATGACAAAATTTCACTACTTAAGCTAATTGTGCCACATTTTGGAGTTTAGCACATGGCCTCATAGGGAAAGCCATTTGCATTGCAATTGTTTTAATAAAGTGAATCCACTAACATTAACTAGGCGGCATCGAATAAAACATATCAATTATATGTGGCAACCATAGATTTTATAACCGGAGGAGACTCGGCCTATCACTCACAATAGGTCTCAAAATGTCACAATAGGAGACACGTCATATTTGTATATTCTCATTAAAACCCCTTAACACCGATACAGAAATACGTAGAGGGAATACAATAACATCAGGATGCAAGATCACCTATACTTGGATTTTAAAATAAGAGATCATACAAATTATAACTTCATTTTTATACATTCGATTAAGAGTATATTTGATACATGAATCCAGATTCATTCCATTAGTTATAAACTTCGTCCTCTTTACCCAAGACAAGCTAAATTCATAGCAAAAATATCTGAAAATGATC